TGGGACTACAGGTGTGCACCACCATGACCAGCTAATTTTTCTATTTTTAGTAGAGACAGGGTTTCACCATGTTGGCTAGGCTGGTCTCGAACTCCTGACCTCATGATCCATCCGCTTTGACCTCCCAAAGCGCTGGGATTACAGGCGTGAGCCACTATACCTGGCCTATCATGTTCATTTTCCCATGTCAACATGTGTATATCTGAAACGTGATATGTAAGGGCTGCATAGTCACTATGTGAACAGACCATAATTTATCCTTTTGCTTTTCAGGAGAGACAGGTTTGGGCAAGTCCACCCTCATGGACACCCTGTTCAACACCAAGTTCGAAGGGGAGCCAGCCACCCACACACAGCCAGGTGTCCAGCTCCGGTCTAATACTTATGACCTCCAAGAGAGCAACGTGGGGCTAAAGCTCACGATCGTTAGCACAGTTGGCTTTGGGGACCAGATCAACAAAGAAGACAGGTAAGGAAGGCAGTGGGGTGAGGTGGGGAGGTTGGTAGAGGGTCACACGGAGGAGCTCACCATGGGGGTCTTGAAGACAGCACAGATACTGGGCCCTAGCCTGTCGTCCCAGAATGGTGTGGGCAGCAGATACCTCCCAAGCATCGGCCCTGTCAAGGGTCCTTGTTTACAGCAACTGCTCCACTCCACTCACTTCACCAAAAGAAGGGTGCCTGTAATATACATGGTTTGGGTCTCAATTCCATGCAACAAACATGTCTTGTGCTTCTGCCTTGCGCCAGGTACTGTTGGGCTCCGACCATCTAAAAAGGAACCGCTTAGTTTCTGCCCTTGAGGCACTCACAGGCAAAACTGGTTTTAAGCAAATAATTTCCATGGAGTATAAGATGTTCTGTAAAGAACAGGGTACAACGAGATAAAGGACAAGTTACAATGAGAACACAAGGGTGAGAATGGTCAAGTCCACGTAAGGAGGTCAGGGAAGCCTACCCAAAGGATGTGTGTCCTGAGCTGACTCTTGAAGGACGAACTGTTTTGCCAGGTGGCCAAGGGAAGGGAGAGAGGGGCATCTTGGGCAGAGATAAGTGCCTGTGTAAAGGCAAAGTGATGTGCAGGATTCTGGTGTGTTCTAGGAAAGTGCGGCTTGCTCTCTCTGTGTAGTGCAGCTAGACAGAGGCAGAGGCGCTGTGAAGCTAATGAAGATTGTACAGGCCCCTTCCAGAGCTCTGTAACTAATGTTCAGTCACAATGTTGTATTGTTTTCCTCAGAGAGCCTTTCAAATTGCGTAAGTGTAAGGGCTGGAAAAACTTGGTTCTGCCTTTGGGCTAGCACTTGGAATAAGCTTGGGGGAAAAACAGGGGAGAGGAGGCTGAAGAGGTAAGCAGGTGCCAGATCACAGAGGGATTTACCATCGAGGCCAGAGGTAAAATAGGTACCGAGATAAGAAAGAGGCGACAGACTTGCTAAATACTGAGTAGGTAAATAACAACAGGACTTGGTGTAGGGTTGTGAAGGCAAAAGAAAAATCTAGAATGAGGCCAAAATTTCTGGCTTTGGAGAGTGGACACGTGGTGGCAATCCATAAGAGAACCAGGGCTCAAAATAATCAGCTCTGTTTGGACATGTTGAGTTTGATCTGTCTGAGAAATACTGAGTTACGTGAGGCAGTTGAACACACAGAGTTGGAGATCACAAGAGGCTAGAAATATGGATTGGGTTATTAAGGTAGAGGTGACATGTCCCAACCATGGACACACGTAAAATCGTCCAGGGATCACAGTAGAGTGAGAAGAACACGGGACTAAAGACGAAAATCTCGGGATGTTAAATCCACAGACGAAGGAAAAGACACCCTGAAAAGGGACTGAACAGGAGTAAGCAGAGAGATAGGAGAGCGGCTAGGAAATATGTTGGGGGGCCAGGCAAGGTGGCTCGTGACTGTAATCCCAGAACTTTGGGAGACTGAGGCATGAAGATCACTTGAAGTCAGGAGTTCAAGATCAGCGTGGCCAACATGGAGAAACCCTGTCTGTACTAAAAATACAAAAATTAGCTGGGTATGGTGGCAGGTGCCTGTAATTCCAGCTACTCTGGAGGCTGAGGTGGGAGAAGCACTTGAGCCTGGGAGGCAGAGGTTGCAGTGAGCTGAGATTGCACCACTGCACTCCAGCCTGGGAGGCAGAACAAGACTCTGTCTCAAAACAAACAAACAAAAAAGATGTGGGGGGTTGAGAATGTGTATGAGTGAAGAGTAGGTGAGGCTCAGAGATGAGGTGTGATAAGGGGTGGGGTCAGGCACCATCTGCATTTAACCAGAAGTCACGTGGTTATCACATGTGTTAATCTCAGAAAGGGCCATTCATCATTTTGAGCAGAGGGTCTTCTTATCCTTTCAGGATTCTTTTGCTTCTTAGAGGAACTTTATGTCAAATTCTTTTATTTCCCCCTTAAAGCTGTAACAGCCACGCTTACTTCCTTATAATGAGTAAATATATGTAGCTTCTTCATAATGGAACTGAGTTCTGTTTTGCATTTGAAATTCTAGAAAAAAGACATCTCTACTTTGTTTTTGGTTTTTTTTTTTTTGAGACGGAGTCACGTTCTATCACCCAGGCTGGAATGCAGTGGCACAATCTTGGCTGACTACAACCTCCGCCTCCCGGGTTCAAGCGATTCTCCTGCCTCAGCCTCTCCAGTAGCTGAAATTAGTCACGCACCACCACACCCCGCTGATTTTTCTGTAATTTTAGTAGAGATGGGGTTTCGCCATGTTGGCCAGGCTGGTCTCGAACTCCTGACCTCAAGTGATCCTCCAACCTCAGCCTTCCAAAAGTGCTGGGATTACAGGCGTGAGCCACTGCATCCGGCCACCTCTGCTTTGTATAGGCATGCTTATTGTGCTATTCTTGTTTGGTTGAGAATATATTAAACTTTGGAGAATGGGGATATTCAGGCCACGATATGAGTACTTAATCTCAGCTGCAGATTGCTCAAAAACTTTAATTAAATTTCTTACAGTTCCTTTAGTTACATACATTCAACATATCTAACATTGGACAATGCCTTGATAATGATGGCTTGGGAGGACTGAAGAGATACTGCCCCTCAGAGGCAATTCTACTTCCGTTATATTTTTAAAATGTCCATATTGTTTTTTCCTGATTATAAATATGATATATACTTATAATAAATAAGTAGAAATGAAAAGCCTCTTTGAAATTTCACTGGGGAGCAGGGGTGGAGTAAGCTCCAGGGATCTGTAATAAAAAGCAGTGTTTTCTTCATGCTGTTAGCATAGATATGTCAGTGAAACTGCATTGAAACCAGGCATTAGAATGTCCTGTTTACAAGGGCACGTGCATAAACTGGGAGGAGAAATGAGTAAGGCCGGATACTGCGGAAAGCTACCATTTAAACGATGCTGGAGGCAGGGCACGGTGGCTCAAGCCTGTAATTCCAGCACTTTGGAAGGCCGAGGTGGGCAGATCACTTGAGGCCAGGAGTTCAAGATCAGTCTGGCCAACATGGTGAAATCCCGTCTCTACTAAAAATACAAAAAATTAACTGGCCATGGTGGTGCGTGCCTATAATCCCAGCTACCTGGGAGGCTGAGGCATGAGAATCACTTGAACCCGGAAGGCAGAGGTTGCAGTGAGCCAAGATCATGCCATGGCACTCCAGCCTGGGCGACAGAGTAAGATTCCATTCAAAAAATAAAAATAAAAAAGGATGCTGAAGGTTGGGTGCAGTGGCTCACACCTGTAATCCTAGCACTTTGGGAGGCTGAGATGGGCGGATCATGAGGTCAAGGGATCAAGACCATCTGGCAAACACAATGAAACCCTGTCTCTAGCAAAAATACAAAAAATTAGCTGGGCGTGGCGGCAAGCACCTGTAGTCCCAGCTACTCGGGAGGCTGAGGCAGGAGAATCACTTGAAACCGGGAGGCGGGGGTTGCAGTGAGCAGAGATTGAGCCACTGCACTCCAGCCTGGGCGACAGAGACAGACTCCGTCTAAAAAAAAACAAAGGATGCTGGAGAAAAGGGCATTTAAAGGAGAGACTGAGAAGGACAGGCTTAGAGGGGAGTGCTTAGGAACCTAGGCTTTGGTCTTAGACCTGGATTCAAATCCCATCTTGCCATATTTTTAGCCCAGGGATCTTCAACAAGGTATTTAAATTTTCTATGCCTCGGTTTTCTCATCTGTAAAATGGGGATGATGATGATGATGAAAATAATACCTACCTTAGAGAGTTGTGGTGAAGCACATTTGACATGTGTGGAATATAAAATGCTTAAACACCTGGCACAGAGTAACCACCTCACCTCATAAACTGAAGATATTATGATCATGATTTTTTTTTTTTTGAGATGAAGTCTAACTCTTGTCACCCAGGCTGGACTGCAATGGTGCAGCTCACTGCAACTTCTGCCTCCCAGGTTCAAGCAGTTCTCCTGCCTCAGCCTCTGGAGTAGCTAGGATTACAGGCACCTGCCACCACACCTGGATAATTTTTGTATTTTTAGTAGAGATGGGGTTTCACCATGTTGGCCAGGCTGGTCTCGATCTCCTGACCTCAGGCAATCCGCCCGCCTTAGCCTCCCAAAGTGCTAGGATTATAGGCATGAGCCACCGTGCCCGGCGGATCATGATTTTTATTGATAGAAGAATCAAGGGAGAGCTGAATCATGCAGCATATGGGAGGGAATGATACATGGTATCCAGGAAGACGAAAACTGAAAAATATTCATTGGGTTTGGTGACATGAAGGTCAGTAATACATTTTGGAATAATAATTCGAGGGGAATTGTGGGTAGAAGCCAGATTACTGTGATTGCTGAGTGAATGGAAAGTAAGGATGTAAAGGCATCGGAATAGCAAAAAGAGCAACGGAAGAGAAAAGTCAGTCTAAGACCAGATTCCTGCTCGTATGGAAATTTAGCATATGTAAGTTAGCAGGGGAAGAATGGACTATTCAAGGGATGATGCTGGGAAAATAGTCCATCTATTTAGGAAAAAAATAAAACGAGACCCTCTCACACAAACACCATTCACAAAAATAGATTCCCATTGGACTAAAAACAGATTCTAAAAATATAAGGAGAAAACATCAGAGAATATTTTTATAACTTTGGGGGTAGAGAAGGCTTTTCTAATCATAACACAAAATTCAAAAGTCACAGAAGAAAAGACTGATGGATTTAAATTCATTAAAGTAAAAAACCCTTTTGTATTGAAAGATACCGTAAACAAAAGTAAAAACAAGCTACAGATGGGGAGAAGATATTTGCAGCCTAAATAACAGACAAAGGATTCTCTAAAATGGAAAAAGAGCTTCTACAGTTCAATGAGAAATAAACAGATAATTTACAGAAGGGGAAATACAAATGTCCAATCAACATGTGAAATGCTCATTCAACTTCCCCAGTAATTAGAGAAATGCAAAATGAAACAATGAAATATTTTTTATTCATCAGATTTGCAAAAACTAAAAGATGG